TTACATGTTTTTAAAAATTAAACCACCAAATACAATTTCAATTTTTTTTTAAACTGAAAATAATCTCGGAATAAAATTACCAAACGCATTTTTATAAATGATTCCAAAATGAAAATGAAAACATTTTCGTTTTTATTTTCATACAAAAAATAAAATCATTTTAAAACGAGTTCTAAACGCACTCTACATATAATCTATTTTTTCAGGAACTATTAGAGAAACTCTCTATTCGGAGATGTATATTTTATTTTTCACATTAGGGATGTATCATTTTCTTTTTTGATTAGGAGGTATCGTGAAGAGCGATGAAGATTCTTCCTAACTATATAATACCACACGTTAAATAATTACAAAACTTGTCTCGAAAAATTTAAAATTCTAAAAACTATAAAAGAATATAAAAGAATAGAACACTATTCTCCCCAAAAAAAAAAGCCAGATTACCATATCCAGAATCCTCAGGCAATTTTTGTCGGTAGTTTATACTTAAATAAATACTCGCTTTTTATTTTCAATTATCTTTTCTGAAATAATTATTAATAATTTATTATTCTCTCTTCTCTATTCTTCTTCTTCTTCTAATAATAAAAGGCTTAAGTTTTCCAGGCGATCAAGCAAACCAAAGAAACACAGACACAGAGAACCATTATTCCCTCTTGAAAACGACGTCATCTTTCAGGCATGTCTTACGACTATCTCTTCAAGTACATAATCATCGGCGACACAGGTTCCTCTTTCAAATTTCTAAACCCTAATTCCGATCATCTTTTTGTTGTTGTTGTTGTTGTTGTTGTTGGTGTTGTTGTTGTTATTGTTGTTTTTGTTGTTGTTGTTGTTGTTGTTGTTGTTGTTATTGTTAATTTTGTTGATTAGTTTGGGAATTTGGGGGTGGTGGTGGTGTGATCGCGTGTGGTGCAGGGGTAGGGAAATCATGCCTGCTCTTGCAATTCACTGACAAGAGGTTCCAGCCGGTGCATGATCTCACCATTGGTGTCGAGTTTGGTGCTCGGATGGTCACCATTGATGGCCGTCCCATCAAGCTCCAGATTTGGGACACCGTAAGCAAGCTCCTTTCTTTCTCGTATTTTGTTTCGATTTCTCCCCCTGTTTGGCTGCTGAGAAAGTTTGGTCGGAAAAATGAAATGAATTTCGAGGAATTTTGAAGCACAATTAGAGACTTGTACAAAGAAGCTGCTATTTTGAACGGATTAACTCCTTGTTCAAACCCGGATTGGTGTTTTTTTTTTTTTTTTTTTTGGAATTTGTTATAATATTCTTCGTCTTAGTAGAGCACAATTTTTCGTATTTTTTTGTTTTTTAATAATGGGTTGAACAAGGAGAATTCTTATCTTTATTTTCTTTTCTCCTGAGAGGAACATGCTGAAGTTTAATTGCTTTGAAGCAAAAATATCATAAAAAGCAAATGCATTAATCCTAAGATGTATTTCAATACTTCTTCTATCTATTATATTCCTCGTTTTAATTGATCATAATTTGTCTTATTTTCCGTTTTAATAATGAGTTGAACAAGGTGAATTTCTTAGATATAGTAATTGCTTTGAAATAAGATTATCAGAAGAACAAATATATCAATCCTGAAGGTGTGTTAAACATAGTACTAGCACTTCTGTTTTTAGTAATGCAATGAAATCTTAGCCCGGGAAGCTTTGTTTTCCTTGCAGGCTGGGCAAGAATCGTTCAGATCCATCACCAGATCTTACTACAGAGGAGCAGCTGGAGCACTTCTGGTTTATGACATAACCAGGTGTGTAGTGTAGTTCTTTCTGCATCAGGGTGTTTTGTATTTTGTGAATACTTGCGAGAAAAGTTGGTGTACAAAGATGTTTAGCTTTATCATTGCGCCATTTGAGTTTATGATGCCGAGTTAGAGAAAGAAAGCCAAATGACCTTTTGAATCCCCTTGTGTAAAGGAGTGAGTAGACTATATTATATATAGCTGAGCCATGTACCAAGCTTTGTCCCTTTTTACATACATGCTCCGATGGTTTCTCAAATCTCCCTTTTCTGTGGATGGCCCGAAGATTAACCAGTAAGGCTAGGGAGGCCCATAACTCCTATCTGTGTTGACCATAACAAGGGAAATTGTTTTTGTTCAGGAGAGAGACGTTTAACCATTTGGCAAACTGGCTTGAGGATGCGCGGCAGCATGCAAATCCCAACATGACAATCATGCTTATAGGCAATAAGTGTGATCTTGCCCATCGGAGGGTTGTCAGCAAGGAGGAAGGGGAACAATTTGCGAAGGAAAATGGGCTTTTATTCTTGGAGGCATCTGCTAGAACTGCTCAAAATGTTGAGGAGGTGATAGTGATTAACTTGACCAATCCGTGAACAAGCCCTCTAAAATTATTTATTTTATTGTTTCCCTCCTTTCGAGTGGCAAGGACTCAATGTGTTTAAACTGATATTTCCACGCATCTCACAGGCCTTTATTAAGACTGCTGCAAAGATCCTTCAAAACATTCAGGAAGGCGTGTTTGATGTATCCAATGAGGTAATTAAAGTCAGTTGTTGCTGAGAGATTATTTGCTACTAGGAGTTGGGATATTATCTTGAGTTCAGGCTTTTCTTCTCTGACCACAAATAGAGGACTTCTAAACCTGTGCAACAATAGTTATTTTAAGGGTTGTGCATTATTATTCATCGATGTCTTAACCATTAGTTATTTGTTTTCCAAAATCTGGTTAGCTATTATATTTCTCTCTAGGCAGGCATGGCGAATTCCAGAGCGTCGATAGATTTGGAAATGAAAATGTATCAGAAACAAATGGTTACTTACTCGCAACTTTTTTGGCAATAATTGCAGTCATCTGGCATCAAGGTTGGTTATGGACGCCCTCAAGGTCCGCCAGGTGCCAGAGATGGAACAGTTGCTCAGAGAGGCGGATGTTGCAGCTAAAATAATCACCCCTGTTATTTTGTGCAACTTTATGTTTATCTTCATCCATGCTTTGAACATACTATATCAAGTGCATGTGACTTGTGGAAAAACATTGAATGTATAGTTCCAAAGTTCTCGTGGATAAATGATTTTACAGTTAGCGTGTCGTATTTTACTTCCAGTTGGACTTGGTCATGGCATCAGGACAAACTTTAGTCTAAAATTACGGTTTTATTTTTTATTTTTTATTTTTTATTTTTATCTGTCTTAATCACTATTATAAAAATCAATGATAACTAAAACAGTCGAATAGGATGCCACCATCCTGTGTTTCAAATTTGCATTGTACCACATTTTAAGATTGTTGCCGAAACAGGATGAGAATATAAATGTACAACAGTTTATTCAAATGTTATTCTTGGTGGAAAAGAATCTGAGTCAGAAATTCAGAACAATGAAATCTCATATAGATACAGTAGGTGTAAAAGAGAGGCATAACTAATTAAGGAACCTGATCAAAGTATGGATATTTTTAGTTATGATATTGAATCAGATGAAAATTTTTTATTAGCAATTGGACTCTAGATATTGACAAACTAATCAATGGAAATTTAGACTTGCATGGGATATAATAGTAAAGGTACGTGACACAGAATCGAGACAATTTGTCCCAAGTGTTAAATGTCTCATACGGATTGTGCTAGTGAAGAAAACTAATCACCTTGACGATCTAATTGACTTAATATCAAATAATATTATATATATATATATATATATGGTCAACAAATTATTTGAAATAAAAAGCAACATAAAATTGAAGCGAAAGAAAAAACGAATATTACAAGTAATTATGTTTCCATCCTGACCACTAGATGATCATCAACTAACCACTCAACTTATAACTCTTTCCACAGAATGGCTGAAAACCATTTTCTTTCTTTTTTACCCTCTCGGACTCTTCTAAATTCTCCACTGCCTCAGACGAGCCAGACACAAGCTTTCCAGCTTTTCTGCTACCTGATGATTTTCCTCCATCCAACCTCCTTCCCACTCCCGTAAACGCCCTAAACTTCACTTCCTTTTCTTCTTCTCTGCCTTCTTCTTTCGTCTTCTTCGTTGCCGGCATCGCCACCACGGGCTTCTCGGGCTCTTTGTAATCCAAAGCAGGAGCAAAATCCACCTCACAATCGGTCTCAATAATGCTCACAGCCTTTTTATCCGGCTTAGTCTCCAAAACGTCAATGCAGCACTTCTTGCCATTATAATCAATGACAATAGTGTCACCAGCAGTCAAACAAGAGAAGCCCCTAAGAGATTTCTCCAACACGGCCTTGGGATTTGACACCTCCATTAAAGCCTGCTCGTGGGGTCTAAACTTCACAAAGGTCGCCTTCTTGAGACACACGTTTTTCACGGTGACCATGTCCGCTTCTTCAAGATCCATGTTCTTCATGAGCCAACTCGGCAAGAAGACCTCGCCTTCTTCGGCGCTGAACTCCATTACTCCACAGTGAGAGATTTTGCGTGCGCTCGGATTTACGATCTGGAATAACATCGGATATTCAATCGTCATGGATGACAGAAGGTCCAAGGCCGAGATCGGCAGTATGATCTTGTTGCCATTCTCGAGGTGATGTTGTCCGCTGAATGACATCGGATAACATCGGTAGAATTGCATGAAACTACTCATTATTAATTCTTGCAATACAAAAGGGACTTGAATTTGCTATCCTTATTAGTATTATATTTGCTGAAACAATTCTACTTGTGAAACAATTTGCTCGAGCGTTAATTGCTTCAGTGAAGGATAGATAGAGGCTCCCGTGGTACATATTTATACACCTCTTGTAGTTGTAATACTAGGGGATATAGGAGTTCGTTTCCTAGTAAGTTTCTCACTCTTTTTTTATTCGTTTTTCTTTTTTTTTTTTCTTTTTCTTTTCTTCATCCTATTCGAACTCCTATTTTGATTAGGAGTATGTATGTTTGTGATCAATCTGTCTTTTTTAACCTTTTTTTTTTTTTCAATTTCACGGAATTGCTTTATTGATTGAGGGATTTATACACGTGTATATGCTTTTAGAAATTTTGGATAATTTTTTTGATAAAAGATATTTTGGATAATTGAGTGCGTATCTACGTTTCTTTCCTTCTTTTTTTTTTTTTAAATTCTGTTTTCGTTTTTTATATTTTTAATTGGGAATACTATTGAGCTCTTTACAAGAAAGCCACTATTTTATAGATTGGATTAACATTTATCATGAATAAAAAACATATGAAAGAAATGTCGCGCCATCTCATACAATTACATTTGGATTACCAAGTATACCCATACGATACTGGTTGGAAACTAATGGGATACCGACTTGTAATCGCCAATGTCCACTGTCATACCGGCCAGTATCCATTGTGGTTACCATGGATACCTTGGATATTGGTTGGTATCTACCATGGATACCGGTTGTTAACCGCCTATACCCGCCGAAACACCTACTACCAAAATTGTAAAAAAACACACAAAATAATTAGAAATAATTACAACCCACAAACTACAAAGGTCGATTCCTCTTATTTCCACGTCAGAATACTTGAAAAGTTTCACAAAAACATACAAAAATACACAAATCACAAATATTCACAAAACTAATCACCAATCACAAATCCAGATAAATTAAAAAAAAAACAAAAAAACAAAAAATCACAACTAAACAAAGACAAAATCCGTCGAGGCGTGTGGCATCATAGTTAAATCCGCTCATAGCCATCAGATCTGCGGAGCTTCTCCCGCGCACAGATCTTCAGCGTTGGCTTCACTGCTTTTAGCCATCGGTTTTGCAGTATTTTCCGAAGCATGGATCTCCGGTGCTGGCTCCCCAAAGTAGCGATTGTCGCCTGTATAGCAGCCTCGCGAATTGTTGAGGCTTAAACAGACGAGATTTAACCAGATCTCTCAACAATGTCACACAAGGATAGCCACGTTGGATCTTCGTCACTCAAGGCTTGGAGAGCCATTACAGGCCCCATTGCCCGGGGTTTCACCGCTAGGAGCCCAAGCGTGCCTCAGATCACGAGATCTCACCGGAGTTGCATCTAAAATGAAGACAATAGTTTTTGTCCTTGGTCATTTTGTGCAACTTTATGTTTATCTTCATCCATGCTTTGAATATACTACGTCAAGTGCGGTTGATGCAGTTAGTATCAGAGCCGAAACCCCCCTATCAAAGTTCACCATATTGCCTAGCATTTATCCCGACATTGAATATATAGTTCCAAAGTTCTCAAAAAATAAATGATTCTACAGTTAGTGACTTGTATTTTGCTTCCAATTGTACTTGGTAATGGCATCAAGACAGAGTCGGTTAAAAGTATTTTTCTTTCTTTCTGTCTTAATCACTATTATAAAAATCAGTGATAAATAAAAATGTCGAACCGTCTTTTTTTTTAATGCGCATTGTACCGCAATTTCAGATTGTTGTGGAAACAGAGAATGAACATGACAATACGCAGCAGTTTCTTTTACTGTGATTATTGGTGGAAAAGAATCGAGTCAAAAATTCAGAACATCGGTTAGTGAAAAACTTATGTGTCAAGTATCATAGCCGAGGTTCTAAGAATTTGAGATCCTAACTACAGTAGATGATACACATGCTAGTTACTTGAAATTTGATCATACAAAACTGTGGTGTGAGCTTCCTCAACCGGTCTACACTGTAGCACCCAGATTAACATGGAAGTGCGTCAATTTCTTGAAGTCACGATCATCAGGAACTACCAAATACCTATCAACAGCATCATCCACAAGCTTCAGTAGAAAACTTTAAATGGAAGACATTATTAGATGTTTAAAAAAAAAAACCTGATGCTTACCCCAGCCAGGATATCTTTAGAAAGTCTACGCTTGCTCACTGTGGTATTATCAGCAACAGGTTGTTTTTGTTGAAACTTCCGAACAACCTTCGGTGACTGCTGGCTAACAGGGAGATCAGCATTCGTTTCTGCCTCTTCTTGGAGCTTTTGCTTCTGTAAACAGAATATTAAGAGAGTAAATAGAATCATGCCCAAATTTACAAAAAGCTTAATGAGAATACAGTATAATTGTCCATCCAAAAGTTTATTTTGATAAGCCCTATGCATGGTAATGAGCTTTGATTAGTCTAGTATCGGATAAAAAGACGGAATTCTTTAAAAGATGACAAGATTCCTATATGTTGGATAACATATAAGCGTGTAGTTAATTGCATCTGATGCATGAAACATATTGAAATCTACGAGTTATGTACCTTCTTTAATCGTTTCTCTATGGAACTCAAGGCACGGGCCTGATCAACTTTAGAGAGATAGAAGTCCCTCTCCCTTTTAGCAGCAGAAATTTCTAAAGCCAATTTCTGCTCCCGGGCGGCATTATTGTAAGCTGCAACGAAACATCTCAACTTTATATCACATTCATTACCTATCATGATATATGCAAAACAATCCAACAAAAAATCATACCAATTTCTTCAGTCAGATCATCCCACTTGAATTTACTTAGGTACTTGATATTCCAAAGATCATAATAGAATGATGACCTCTTTCTCCCACCTAGACACAAACAAAACAAGACAAGAAAGCTCAACTACAAGAAATACTCCAGGTAAGCACGATGTTATAAAAGAGTAATAAACAAAGACAAACAGACAAACAGTAAGACATAAATCTTCAATATTTAGCAGTTTTTCAATGGAAAATCTGGACAACTACATACACATTAACAATTTGCAAAAGTTGAAAAAACAAAAATAAAACTAAAGCAGCATAATTTTGATCTGTATACATACCTATTTGTTCACCATTTAGCATATTAGCGGCTCTTTTAGCAATCCTTTTATCAGAAAACTCAGCCCATCTACATCGTGCAAAATTAAGACAAATCAAATGAATATAAACCATGATTGAAACTTTTAATTGGTTTGATAACAAAACAATGAAACTCATTTATGAACACATTACCCTTCCGAAAATCCTTGCTCTTGAAACCGACCGGCGCGCTTGCGGGGCGCTTTACCAGCAGACTCTGCAATATAAACAAACAAATGTTCAAAGATTAATACTCCAAACCAAACAGATATCTAGAAACTTCAAACAAAAAGTAGTTACAAATCATAAAAAAGCGATTACTTTCAGGGACAAGGTAAATCCTTTGTATCTCTCCGTATTGAGAGAGAAGCTGACGAAGCTTGAACGGATCCATGTGGGGAGGAACGCGACTCAAGTAGCAAATTCCACGCTTGTTAGCCATGGCAGCTTCTTTCAAAAGCCGTCTCTTCCTTTTATTAATCTTTTTCATATCCGTTTTCTCGTCATCAGCTTCTTCCTCCAAGGACTTCTTCTTTCCTTCATCAATGGCGGCCAAAACAGCTTCCTGTGACTGATTCTTCTCTCCACCCGCGCCATTTTCTTCTTCCTTCTCCATTTCTTCCTTCAACGATTTGCATTTCGCCTTTTCCTCTTTCCTCTTTTTAGATTTTTGGGAACTGGTCTTGTGAAGTTGATTCTGATCTTGTTCCTCCATTTCAGCATCTTCCTTTAGCAATTGCTTTTTCTTCTTAATTTTCTTTTCCTTGTCAGGTTTTGCTTTCTCATTATTCAACTGAATTTCTTCCTCTGCCATTTTTCTTGTTTTTCAAATGTTTCGATCACCGCGGATATGTGCAGAATCCTTTGACGGTGGCCGGAGTTCGAAGCGGCGACCGGAGAGGGACAGAGAGAGAGAAAGGTCGGAAAGAGATCGAAACAGGGAGCTAGGGTTTCATTTTCACACGATAGTGTGTTTTCTTTCCGGGTGTTGGCTGATGTGTCCGACGTAAACTTTTTTTCCCTTTTTTTTTTTTTAGTTGGGAATTTTTGAGGTAAACTTGTGCCTTTCTATCTTTTAAGTCTTTTTTTTTTCCGGGACTATTTTATTGTTTTCAATGGTAATTGTTTAGAAAATATTTTACAACATATTATTTGTTTTTTAAAAATATAAATCGTTTATTTTATTGGTTTAAGTTTAGAATTTAAATTTAAGTTTATTTAAGTTTAGAGTTCAAATTTTATCACAGTGAAAATTTTTAAAAAATAATTACATTTAATTTTTTACAACAATAAAAAATTATAATATAAAGTTACTTCTCAACTCAAATCAATAAACGACCATAATTTTAAGCCCCGTTCACTTTGTTAATTCGAGTTGAGATGTGACTTTATGTGAGAACTTTTTACTGTAACAAAAAAATTAAATGTGATTGTTTGTAAAAGCTTTTTACTGTAGAAAAACTAAAATTTTAAACTCGAATCAGCAAAGTGAACGAGGCCTTAATACTTGAACTCTTTTAGCTGTGAATTGGATTGAATTGAATTTCTAATGCGATGTTTTCCAAATACCTGGAATTGTCGTCATGATTGGGACTTAAAACAGTAATGGGATGAAACACTAATGGTATTCTACTTCATTGTTTCATACTTTCAGTTAGCAAGCGACATTTGTAATCCGATTCGGCGTTGATTTTCTGTTCATAAAATTATTTTAAGTCTCGTTTGTTCATATACTCATACTTAAATTATTAATTAATACATTTAATTCATAAATTCAGAATTATGAGTTAGAATTATTCTCAATTTACGTATATTTTTTGTGAAAAAAAATATTGTACTGAATCATAATTCAAATCATGATTCAAATCCCTTTACCAAACGATTCTGCTACATTATCTTTCTTTAAAAAAATAAATTTTAAATGTTACAATAAAAAATTATAATTTAAATATACATTCCAAACATACTCTTAATATTCTAATTTCGAGAGTTTTTAAGGACATTGAAGATAACAGATTCAACCTTATACAACCTTTTTTTTTTGGGGGTAAAATTGTAAGTTTATTACGCGGTGAACATGTAATTACCTCTACTAAATTTAAAAATTCACCATCAATTTTGTTAACTGTCAATAAAAACAAGTCCACGAACTAATTAGCAAATTAAAAAAAAAAAAAAAAAGAAAGAGTTTCAGCCAAAAAAGAAATAAAAAGGAAGAGATCGAACTATCATTATCATAATGCTACTAATTTAAAAACTTACACCAAAGAAAAGAAAAGAAAAAAAAAAAAAAGAAGAAAAAGAGCCCTCCCAGTAATCTAACACAACACACTCAAAGCAGTTGGGAGACAGCAACACCGTCGTATAACGAGCAAATGATACAATGTGAGGCCTAACTCAAGTACTCAACAAGCCCAAGTAATAGAAAAACACAAGCGGTTTTTGACACATCATTGTCAAAAACCAGGTAATCCGTATAAACAATAACATTTTCTGTTTTCTGTTTCATTCTTCCCTTTGAGATCTCCATACAAACAAATATGCTGTACAAGTCCGGGCATTGAAGATGCTTTAAGAAAAGGCTTATTTAACCGAAACAACATCATCGTGTGAGAAATCGGAAAAGATCGTGGTAACAGAGTTACCAAGAATAGGAACTGGGCACATAAGTTATTTCTATTCAGTTGGTTTGGCTTTAATGTGGACGTTGCTCTGATATAATTGGTCTCACTTGGTGAGAAGAAAAACCAATTTCCAGGTCGACTTTGGGTAGATAAAAACCAATTTCCAGGTTGACTTTGGGTAGATATTCAATTGCCGCGTCTAAGTGATACGAGTCGTCCCAAAGCAAGGCCTAAGTTCATTGCAAATATCTGGTGTATCAACAACTTACGGGAGAGTTGCGAACATGGTATAAATTAATACATGAGCAAGAAAGGGAATCATAGACTTTTGAACAGAGATAGATAGAAGATGGTTTGCCGTTACAATGCGTCTCACTTCAAATGAAAGTATTACAACGCATTTATCTGAAAATACGGATGTAAAGAACAGAAAAAGGTGCAGATCGTATGGTACAATAACACCAATTCAGCTTCCTTGAGCAGATTAACCAAAACGAGAGTGAAGAAACACAGACTGCAGATCATTATTTTTTCCCCCCATTTTCTCTCTCTTTTTAAAAAGAAACTTTTGAAGACATTGACCAAAAAAGCACTGATACAAATATGTTGAGCATTTGCGAAAGCATATCTTTTTTATTTCAAATCTTTGTTAAACGCTCCCAATAAAGAGAGCAGACGTGGACACATACAAAACAGGCGAGTTCCACAGCAAAGGCTCAGCCAAAAACAAAAAGCAAAAAGCACTGAGACTATGACAAATATTAGATCATAAACGTGGAAACTACTCGGTAGGTTCATTTAAAAATAAAAAATAAAAAAACAAAATAATAAAGTGGACAGAAGTATAACATAGTTCTCAAAAGATATATAAAACACTATAACGAAGGTTTAGAATGTTACCAGACAAAAGCAGCAAAATTTATAGACTTCCAGACTAATAGAGGCCCAACATCTTCAGTTCCGTGACATGACTGGGGTCTAGTTCAGGGACATCCTTATTAACTTCTCGATCTTCTACAACATATTCCTGAGATGAAATTCCCGAGGTAAATCACTGCAGCGATATTACGGACAGAAAGCTTTGAAACAGATTTGAGTGCCTAGATTCTTAGTCTCAAATTCAGAAAATTAAGTCAAGAGAGACCAAAAACAAGCATTCAAGAATAAAAGCAACATAACCTTAAGCTTGTTAAGAAGCATCCTACTATAAACTTCTTGTCAAACATATACACTAGCAGTTCTTCTATACACAAGTTTCAGAATGAGTAAATTAGCTTCCAGAGCATGAGATGCCAAACCTTTGTTAGTTCTTGTTTAGCAAGAACATGGTAGTGTCGTTCGCTGATCCTCTGCCCACATATTATAGCTATGAAGAAACCATAAAGCAAACCCACCAAAAGGATAGCTAAAACTGCAATCAAGAAAGGATATAGAGTCATATGTTTGTAGTGTATCCACATGAGTGGTAAGCTAAATTCAAGAATTATCATATTGCTAGAGTCACAGTCTCTATTATTCATTACTTCGATACATCTTCAACTTTAGGGCAACAAATGTTTGAAAAATTCAAGAACACAGAATCTTGCCTTTCCACCATCCATATCTAACACCATGAGTCTTTGAAATGAAACAACAGTCATTTACTCGGGAAAGAACCCAGAGTGTGAGGTGTTTGGGTGTTGCCAAAGCACCTTAAACAAAATATTATTCCAGTGATATTGAATATCTATGCCTCCTTTCAAGTATCCACAAAAACGCACCTAAATATGATATACGTAATATGCACGTAGTCTGTTAATCTCAGCACATAAAAATATTTATGCATTTCACATACAAAGTTTTGGAAATTAAGGTCACGTGCAAACAACATGTTCCCTTGCTCCATATCCACATGATACTCAATGTCCATGACTCCTAACTACGTGGCAACATGACTTTCAAAAGACTGTTAAACATTTGTTAACAATATTATGCCAGAATGTGCAATATATACGAATTTAAGAATGCGTGCTCTTTTTTTTTAATACAAAATTAGCAATATGTTCTTGCATTCCTATGTATAGACATATAAGAGATAGATATAGAGAGAATTGCAAAGAGGGCCAGCAGCGTGCATACCGGCCATAGTATAGAATCCATATGGGTGTTCTTCATAACCAAACATTTCCCTTAGTTCATCACCATAAAATTTATAAACCAGAACCCCCAAGAATGCCACGATCTGTTGAAAAAAACAGTGCAAAAGTGCTTATGAGCCAAGAGACAATCTTTTACAGATGAGTTGACATTCTGAACTGAATTAAGCTTTAATTCCAAAAAGGTAGATTCATATCCCAACTCAAGGTGTTAATTAGAAAATTTCCCCTGCAATCTAACACTAGTGTGATTCAGCCCTTGGAACTTACTTTTCAAACAATGCAAATCGTGAACTTTAATGAATGTGAATATTAAGCCATCTGTCAACGAGTTTTGTTCAAATTTTTAAGCAAATATTTGAAGATTTCTTATATATCAGACAACTTCATCTGCCTTGTTTGTAGTAGACCAGCCCAAGAAAAATGAAATAAATGGAATCTACATGTGACTACGAAATCAAGAAGAAAAGGAGAAATCTATCATTTCATTAGTGCCCATACCAGCTGAACAATTATGAAAATGAGTGCATGGTCCCTAGCAACAAGGAATTGAAACTTCAATCTCAACCACCAGCGATCAGGTGGACAATTTGCACGTAGCAAGAACGCTGCCCTGCATTCGGTACAATGAGCAAAAGCAAAGCCCTCCTGAGAAATAAAGAAATAGTTAATAATTATAAATCATCTTTTTCAGAGTAGTATAATACAAATAGAATAGTTTACTACTGAAGACATAGAAGTTAATGACATTGAAATAATGATTAGCATGGTAATCTGCAACGTAATGATTCCAAAAGAAAAAAGTAGGAAAATCCATCTGCTATAAGGCAGGGCAAAAACAAAGCAACCAGTACTTACTTTAGTTGACCTCCAGTTATCGAGACATGATCTATGGACATATTTCTGGGTGCCTTTGCACTGGCAAGGAGCAATTAAGTCTTCCTCTGAAAGAAAAAGTAAGCAATGGATCCAAGATTTGAGATGAATAGATTTCCTAGCTACTAAAATAAAGAATAATCAACAACTGATTCATGGTGCACTTCCTAAAAGGTACTTGGGGGGGTTGTGGGAGAGTAATTGAACATAATTTCATAAATAAATTAATTTCTGGCAATGGTTACTAAACAAATGAAATAGGAAGCATAAGACCTCCAGAATCAAGGCATATACGGCATTGTGGTTGATCTGCATTCACCAGTTGACAAATTTCATCAACGTGAAGATTTTGCAGATCCTGGTCGATAATAGCGTGATCCCCTCCAACGGTTACAATTTCGCATGATGAAGATGATTCTACAAATCTGTCCTCGCTGTCAGACTGACCTAAGATGGGCTCACGTTCAGAAATATCTTCTTTGCGACTATCATTTAATTGCATCTCGAAGCAAGTATACTCAGGAATGTACTACTAAGAAGGTCATTGCCAGAGGTAAAGTACCTCTGAACCATTTCAAGAAAAAACAAACGAACCTGCAAGTAGAGAAAAATCGTTAAATCACAAAGCTTTTAGAAGGTGAGTCACCTATTTAGTAAACCAAACATCGACACACATGGTACTTTGACAACATAACATCTCAGAGACAAATATTTCAAACTTCTCAACAAACTTCATAGTTCAACACTCGAAACCCGACTCCAAGCATGATACACGTTGTCACCATTGGGATTATGAGGATATATATATATATATATATATATATATATATATATATATATTAAGGGACCCTTCACTTAGCTCCTATTTTCTGATCTCGAAATCCTCCTCTGGGTTTAAGTGAAATTAGATATTCAAGTTTCAACCTTATGTTTGCAAGAATTATAAAAATATACCTTCAGATTATCAATTCCTTTAAATCAGTCCCTAATAATAATAATAATAATAATAATAATAATAATAAATAAATCAGATAAAAAAAATCAGATAACAGTCAATAATTCTTCCGAACCATAACAACGAATTCGATCAGTGTTCTTGAGTTTCCTATTCAAAAACTTTACAAAGAATAATCCTTGAAAATTTGCAGACATGTTAAACAATAGAGCAAAAAACATTAACAGATCCTAAAAGGAAAAAGAAGAACAGACAAAAGAATTTCGAGCTGAAAATGAAATTGTTAAATATATCAATGATTACCTGATGATGTCTTAGCAATTTCTAACAATCGCCATGGATGGGATCAAACAATGAGAGCATTCATAGATGGGGATGAATTGGGATTCTTGGGATTTTGTAAATTGTCTTCAACGAGAGAAAGAGAGAGAGAATTGACTAATTGGCTGAGTTTTCTTTTCTTTTCCTTTTTTTTTTTCTTTTCTCCCAATTATATTTTATTTGTTTTCTGATTTTTTTTTCCCCTGCTGTTTCTTCTGTTTGTTGGGAGGGTATGGATTTATTAATCTTGAAAAAATTGCATAACTTACCCTTAAGAATACATGAACATAAATTTTTAACTATAAATTCTTGATTAATACTCTTTTACTAGTATAATTATTTAACTAAAAAAATTATTAATCAAGAGTAATAGATAGCAATCTTGATTATGCACTTTTAACCTCTCATTATTGATTAATATCATTTTACTAGTATATTTATTTGATTAAAAATATTATTAATCAGATATAAATCATGATCATGCACCTATAAAGGTATTTATCTCTTTTTTCCATTAATCTTAGCACTAAAGTGAATTTTGAGTCTTTAATTAAGGGTTTTAACTGTAGTACTAGACTTGGTCCAGCAGTAACTCCCAAGCATCTCTAAATTAATTCATTTCATCTACATATTTATTTTGTTGCAATTTTGGTCTGTAACTCATTATATCATGTAATAATTTAAACGAGCAAAGAAAGGGTGATAATTTTAAATTTTTTACAAAAAAAAAAAAAATGTAAAGCTCAAAATTTTGTAGCTTTAAAAAAGTTTCAAGTTATCATATGAATGATACACACATATAAAAATACGTAACACTTCATTTATAAAATGTCAATTTCATTGTTTATAAATTTACTTCTTTTTTATAGAAAGTTTACAAAATATACTCATAGGCACTGCTAAAAACACCTTTTCTTTAGCAGTTTGTTCTATTGTTGTAGTTTATATTTTAGGCTTTTTCCTTAATATTTGTGTTAGAGATTAATGGGGTGGTAGTAATGGTTCTGTGGGATTAACATCATTATTGTTGGATTGATCTTGGGTGCGAAATGAAAAAAAAAAAAAAAATCTCTTTATTGTTGAACAATTTCGTTGTCTTCGTAGTAAAACTAAAAAAACTACTTTTGACGGAAAAAATGTAAGAATCTAGGAAAATATTGGGCTAAATTTGTAATATTCAAAAACACATGGTATGATTTTCTATAACTATAAAACAGACGACACAGAAATGTAAAAAAGAAAAATCCATGGAAAATTGGAAAGCATTGGTAGACTTTACTCGCACATCCCCACTGGAATACATACAAATATCTCACTCACTGTCGTCTTAACCAGAGTCACCAGACCAATACCTCTCTTCTTTCTGCTTTTCGTTTTAGAGACATAAAGAGAGAAAGAAAGAGAGAGAAACAATGGCGGAATCGAAGACCGTACACTCGCCGATCGTGACTTACGTTTCCATGCTTTCCCTTCTCACTCTCTGCCCTCCCTTCGTCATTCTACTGTAAGTCTTGATCTTTTCGTTTCCAATTATAGGCTCGTGATTTTTGTTTCCGTCCATGAAACTTGATTGCTCAATCTAAATCTCATCTCGTTTTAATCTAATTAATCTTAGTTTTTTTTTTGTGAGAATATTAAAGTCATTGCTAATATCTTGTTGTGTTCCAATCTCTGAACACCTCGTTCTTAACGACGCCAAGTTAAATCTAATATTTTTATGTTCGGAAATGTTGAAAATTTTGAATCTCGAGAGTATAGATTGCATTTTTGTCCAACTGTTAATTGTCATCAACTTAATCTCAAGTTTGAATGTCGCTTCAGATCCGTCCGCTTTTTGCTGATTGCGATTTCCATCTCTCTCTCTCTCTCTCTCCTTTTTGCTTTGAGTTTTTTTGGAAACGAAGATTCCATTAACTTAATATACTGTCTAGATTTTCTTAACACATGTTTGGATGATGAGAAAACGCTAGCAAACAATAGGAACTTGAAACTTGGAGTTGTTAGGGGAAAAATAATAAAGAAACTATTACATCATAACAAGCTTAAAATTTTCCTACTTCTGTACTGCGAAAATGAAGTATGAAAAAATATCCACCTAACCGAGCCTCTGAAAACTATGTTCATTGTAGCATTTCGCTTAATCGCTGAGAAATGTAGCAAGTTAAAATTAATTGTAACTGTTTGTTCTTTTGTACTATTTGTTTCTTGTGATTTGAGAGTGTTAAGAGGATGTTGAACAGCTTATAATATCGCTTTTGTTCTCTAAATGTAAAGTGACCCACTTTATGTTTCAATTTTATGATTCTTTAAACACCTAATTGTTTGGTGACTTATTTGTCTCCAAAAATGAAAAACTTCAAAAAGATTGAAATCAGGGCTTGATGTATAATGCAGATGGTATACGATGGTTCATGCCGATGGCTCTATTTTACAAACTTTCGATTACTTAAAGCAGCACGGGTTGCAAGGATTTATCAACATATGGCCCAGGCCTACTGCGATTGCTTGGAAGCTAATTGCTTGTTACGCTGCTTTTGAGGCTGCACTTATGCTTCTTCTCCCTGGAAAGAGGGTTGAGGGCCCAATATCTCCCGCTGGGAATCGACCTGTTTATAAGGTGTTGTGTCAATGTGTCCCATTCGTATATCAACTTACTTTTGTGTCACTTGATATCCATAACAATGTACCATGAGCTTACACAAATTGAGCCTTCTAGAGAACCATTGACATTCTATGAAATTCTAGAACTTTAATTGTACGGTCTTTGATAAATGTTTACACAATTAATACATAGTTGTTGTTAAAAGTTATCAATCTTATAAGACCTTTAAATGGACATTCTGCCACATAGAAATTTTTTTTCAATAATTATTTTTTTATTATTTTTATTCTTTTGCTTATATTTAGCTTGTGCGTGATGCAGGCTAACGGAATGGCAGCATATTTTGTGACGTTGGCTACTTATCTTGGCCTTTGGTGGTAAGGAATTTCTCCATCAAATATTAGCAGTCAAGTTGTGAAGATATGCTTTAGAGCCCATTATTTTACTTTTTAAAGATTTGGAATAGTTTCTTTTTATTTAATGTCACGGTCTTAGGTTTGTTTAATATTAATTAGATGATAAACCGAGGATAAAGATAATGCCTTGTTAAGTTAAACTTTTAAGTGTTTCATAATCACGCTAATGTAAGTGAGAAAAAGTATCACCTTTTCTGTATATGCTTATGGTCATGTATACTCTTATATTAACTCAACTTTTATCCAGTTACAAAGTTTTATTTAGTGTTGAACTTATTGAAGCAAACAATCTGTAATTGCATTATCTTCGGTGTGAAAATTTTCATTTTACTGCGGAGCGAGGAAGGCTAAATTTTGTACATACTGTTGTGAATACCTAATTTTGTACTTTGTTTTTTATTTGAGATTGATATGAGCAGGGTTCTGCTTAAACTACATGTCTTACTTTGTAATCATGGTGCAGGTTTGGCATATTCAATCCTTCAATTGTGTATGATCATTTGGGAGAAATATTTTCATCGCTTATTTTTGGAAGCTTGGTTTTTTGTGTTTTCTTGTACATAAAAGTAAGGGCTTTAAACTGCACTAAAAGACCTGTTTTTCTCAATATGGATATGTTTCTGAGACTCCTGCTTTCTGTTGTAAGGGTCATGTGGCACCATCTTCCACAGATTCCGGCTCTTCTGGGAACATCATAATTGATTTTTATTGGGTAAGTGTGATTTCTGTGGTATTTATGTTGTCTTATTCACTACTTTTTGGCTGTAGTCAATTAATAAATGTGAAGAGAGAAAATGAAAATGCAGGGATAATAAGAAATGATGATCCTATTGTGTTTTACATCCAACTTTGATATACTGCTGGAAAGGATTCTGGAGTGTGACATTTTCAGCACTGCGTTTCCACTATCTGCCTTTAAGTCATAGAGGAGTTAGGTTGGGTTCTCTTTGAGCCCTGCTGTCCAGGCCTCCTTAAAAACCTCCAGGAACCCAAAAGGCTTCATCCCTGACTTCATCTTGCTAATGTGATGTTCTTCACAAGGCTCCATGCTACCACTACAAATTTTTTGGTTTTAAGATATCGCTATATGATGTGCTAAATTTTGCTATGTAAACATTCAATTCATTCAACTGTCAACATCAATAGTCTTTTTTAATAGGAAAGCACTGTGTAAACTGCCATGTATTTGACCAAGAATGCTTCTTTCTAAAGTTTCACGTTGAAAACTTGTTCTTACTTTCAAGATCCTTATTCCTTATAAAATCATTACTGTTTTGCAGGGCATGGAACTCTATCCTCGCATTGGTAAAAACTTTGACATTAAAGTTTTTACAAATTGCAGATTTGGAATGATGTCTTGGGCAGTTCTAGCTGTAACTTATTGTATAAAGCAGGTATCCTCTATTCGAAATTTGTTCCTATACTGGTCAGGTTAGTTTTGTTGGTTGATGTACACATTGGATCCGTATCACATTGGAGACCCCGAGGTTGGTTGGCCTACATATTGAAGTCCTTAGCAATAGTTTAGTCACCCACTTCTTCGATCTTGATCTGTTTTAACCTCCTTTTTATGAATCCAAATTGCACCAAAAAGATCTATGCAATTGAAAATGATTTCAAAACCGGCAGTGACCACTGACCAATCACTTTCCATCATGTGCAAAGGTTGATGGTCCTTTGATCTGTTCCAGATTTAACTATTCTGTCTTATTTTGTATCATGTGGTTTCTAAATCATATTTTTTGTAATGTATATTCGTTGTATACAAAAAATATCAGTTTCTCTATCTAATATAAGGCATTTTCTTGGACAATTTTTACAGACAAGAATCTAGTTCTTGTCACATGTGAAGTGTCTGAATCCCATATTAACACTGGCCAAAAGAATTTCGTTCATTCCTGCAAAGATCCATTGTCCGCAACAAAATAAACGTTTCTGCCAATTAGTTGTTTTTTTTTTTAACAAAACAATTTGAGGAGGGTGGATGTAACGAGTAAAAAGACAAGCGACAATTTTGCTAAGTTAGCTGTTCAGATTCTGCTAACTTTAGGTGGAAAGGAAAAGAGACCACTTAAACTTAAGAATCTGGTTGAAATGCCATTATTGTGGAATGTACATTCTATACAATTAACTTGAACAAGAGTGTGTAATGTCACTTTACTGTGTAGCCAACTACTCTAGAACCCAGGCAATTGTCCTGGTGGTTATTTTTGGTTGTTGTTTTTGTTGACTTTTTGGTTGTTTTGGCGGCATCTAATCCATTTTTGTTCCCTTTTTCTTTTGGTTCTGCCAGTATGAAGCAAATGGGAGAGTAGCTGATTCAATGCTTGTTAACACTATATTGATGCTGGTGTATGTTACAAAATTTTTTTGGTGGGAAGCTGGATACTGGAACACAATGGACATTGCACATGATCGAGGTTCTGACTTTTTTCCCATCATATTGTCGTACTAGCAGATTTAATAATGTGGACAGTTGACAATTTTCTGAGTATGGAGGCGTTATTGGTAATCTCTAGGCATTCTAAACATAAAAGAAATGGCGTAAATAATGCTGGAGTTTTTGTATGAGAATTCATTCAAAAAATCGAAGACATCGCCCCTGTATGCGCCTGCCAGCATGTGCTCAAAGTTGAAAGGATCTAGCCCCTTTAATTGTTTTTTTTTCTTGAAGAATGAATCTTCACTTCTAAGTTCAAAAATTTTCATTGAATGAAATTTAACTCCCATATTTCTCCTAGCTGATTTGCTGGTAGTGCAAGTCTGTTTTGTGCTGAAACTGACCATGACTTGTCCTAGCCCTGCTTCTGTTCATGTCATGAAGAGGCTCACTTTCATAATCTGAATATTTGGCTCCCAGCTTCTGTTATGTAGATGGGTGCCATGTTTCTAAAGTCTTGGCATTTAAGTTTATAGCCATAAAATAATGGAGAAATTTAACCTTTTTCTGAAAATTTTCAATCGCACAATGGCGAGGAAATGTACAGCCGTTCGGATACAATGCAAAGTTTGGTACATATGTTTGTCTTTATTAGCAAAAGCGTTCATTTTGCGTGCTTAAATTTGTGTTATTAAAATGCGACCAATAAATGGTATAAACCGTTTTACTGTTGTACTCAATCCACTTTACCGTTGTTTCTTCCATGTAGTTTACTTTGTTCATGATTGATCTCATTTCGATCATTTGCACCTATGGCTTTGACAGCTGGTTTTTATATTTGTTGGGGATGCCTTGTCTGGGTTCCTTCTGTGTATACCTCTCCTGGCATGTACCTGGTCAATCATCCCGTAAACCTTGGAACTCAGGTATATCACCTTTTTTTCTCTCCGTGTAATTGGGCAATAAACTTGGCTGACAAAGCACCTTTTTTTTCTCCTCATTGGGAAATCTTTTCAAGATATATTTCCAAGTTGTTTTTAAAGTGTGAAATAAAACTAAACAAGTATAAACCCAGGGAGAAATGTACTCACTAAAATCTTCTCTCTCTCTCTCTCTCTCTCTCTCTCTCTCTCAATCTATTAAAACTAATACACGTAATGTTAAAGGCAATTAATTTTTCTAAAAAAATCTTGATAATTTTTAGCTTGTCTAAGGCTAGAGAATTTTCAGTTTGAAAATAGACTTAGGAGTTGGAAACAAACTCATAGGGTGATTCTAGACTTATTTTACCTCAGCCTTGTTAAATTTCCCTTTGATTTAATTTCCTTGTTCCTTTTAACTATCATAGTTCTAATAATTTATTTTATCTTGTTACAGTTGGCACTTTACATCCTAATAGCAGGCATCCTTTGCATATACATCAACTATGACTGTGATAGGCAAAGGCAAGAATTTCGCCGAACAAATGGCAAAGCCTTGGTCTGGGGAAAAGCTCCATCAAAGGTATATGGTCTACTGGTATTCCTTACTTAGTTCTCATTATATGTGCAATTTCTGTATATCATGTGTAACTCCATGCATAAATTTTGCATTTTGTGTTTGCAGATAGTGGCCTCTTACACAACCACATCTGGAGAAACAAAAAATAGCATTCTTTTAACCTCTGGATGGTAGGTTGTCTATTCCTAATGAACTTCTAGATATAACCCAAAATGTTTCGTTTATGTTGGTTATGGAAGTGAGTCGAGCATGTGTTTGTTGTTTCACATGATCCTAAATTGGTGCAATATCTAAAAGTCTAGAACTGCAAATATTAAGAAATTTACAAGAAATATCATCTTTTTTGGGGTGGAGATATCTGTAATTGAAAATTGGTCGTGTTATGAGGTGCTCTCTTCTCCCCATGCCTATCCTAAAATTTAGAAAACAGAACTGTTGATATCTGTGCAAGATTATTATTGACGTATTGTTCTTGCAGGTGGGGATTATCTCGGCATTTTCACTATGTACCAGAAATATTAGCTGCCTTTTTCTGGACTGTTCCAGCTCTTTTCAACCACGTGAGCATTTTTTTCCCTTGTTGTTGGGGATAATGTGTTGTGTTATTCAGAACTTGTTCTTCAACCCACTCAATTTTCTTCTGCAGTTTTTACCCTACTTTTACGTGGTGTTTCTTATCATCCTTCTCTTCGACCGCGCCAAAAGGGATGATGACCGATGCCGATCCAAGTAAGGACATGCTATTTCAGCTGTTGTAATACATATCTGGAAAATGCAATGAGGAATCGTCCAAGATTTGTGTTTTCAAAATGGATCTACAGAGTTGTTTTAGTAAAGCATCTGAACGCCCTAGACCTTACGAGTGCTATTATAGAAAACCAAAAAAAAAATCAAAATCAAAACTTTATAGTATAGAAAACATATAGAAAGTTAATCGATCTTTCAGACTTTCATATAGAAAATGGGGAGGGTTTATGACATACGTAGCTCAATTACTAATGATCTGTGTAGAATTGTCATTGATCGTAAAATTTGATTGGGGTACTCCGTCCTTTCAGGTATGGAAAATACTGGAAACTGTACTGCGAGAAGGTTCCCTACAGAATCATCCCTGGACTTTACTAGGAAAATAATATCGCATCTGCAACGGATTCTCTTCTCGCTCCATCTTGAATTTGGTCAAATTTTTGTACCTTATGATGTGACCCGAAAGTATATTGTTCTTTTCTAAATGATGTATGGCAGCTTTTTTCTTGTTGTTCTCGTTTTTGGTCAGATTAGTTTGACATACTTCTATTTAAGATGAGATTGCCAAAGAAAAGTTTCTTTCCATTTAACTAGTATAAAGCTGCGTTTCAGTTTAAAATTTTAATACTTAAGAGGACCGAGTTTTCATGCACGATACTAAGGATGAAAATATTGATATTTTTATTGATATTTTTATAAAAATTTTCATATTTTAGAAATACTTATATGAAAATAGAGGTGTAGTTTTTTTTTTACAGAATATCTTAAAATTTTTATAGATATTCTTGTTAATATCGATATTTTCATGAAAATTTCCAAGTAAAACGTAGTGTTAGATATCTGAATATCATGGAAATTTTATGAAAATTGTACAAAAATATTGGTAATTCTATATATATATATATATATATTATTTTACTTAGCAAAAAAATTAAAAAATATAACATGTTCAAAATTATATAAGGAACTAATCAAATTTCATGTCTTGATATTAATATTATTTAAACTAAGAATGTGTTCAAAATTAAGGATGGCAATAATTGCTACGGAGACGGAGCCCTACCCCGAATAAGGCAGGAATGGAGAAATATTATTGAGGATGGGAATGGGGACAAAATCTAATCTCTAATTTGTAATGGGATGGCTATAGGGGAAGTATTCCCTACCATGTCTCCACCCTGATATTAATGTATTGTTTTTTATGTAAATAAATATATATAATTGTAGCTAATTATTTAGAGCGTATCTAATTGGTTGATAATAACATTTTTATTTAATCAATATTCTTTTAAAACAATTGTAATCTCAAAAGTTTTCTTTTATAAGTTTCAAAATTGAATAATCATGAAGAAAGCATACAGAACATTTAAAATAGTATTATAAATTAAAATACAAAATAAAATAACACAACAAATATGCTATTATTGCACTTTTTAATAACATAAATATAACATTGATTTTAGCATTTATATCGGAGATAGTCTCATAAATTCACGAGGAATTTCGTCTCAATTCAAATTGTAGGAAACAAAGTGATACAGCCGTTATTCCAAATCTGTAATCAATCCTTAAAAAAAAGGTACAAATAGATTTTGGTTGTAACTATATGGGCATGCTAAAGTATTGAATTCTCACCAACTAGAAATTACCCTTCATCAGGCATCGTTCGCTTCGCGGATTCAAGTTTTCAATTCGAGTTGAGATGTGATATTTTCTAAGAGCTTTTAACTGTAACAGAAAAAATTAGATGTAACATTTTCTGAGAGCTTTTAACTATAGAAACTTAAAACTGAAAACTCGAATCGGTAAAATGAACGAGACCTATGTTACGCAAACTCAATAAAAGCGTCTGTTATTTTATACTCTAAAATGGAAGAGTGCCAACGGAGAAAATGGGACAATATTTTATTGGAGAACGGAGAATCGGCGCGCAAAAAAAAATAAAGTAAAATAAAAGATGGCTAATGTAAATGAGATTTAAGTGCACTGGCACAGCTCATTCATTAAATAATTGAAAAGCCATTTGGCCACAGAACAAAAGAAATACAAGACATAATCTGCAATATACCAGCACACGCTTAACACAAGTGTATCATCGTTGACAACAGACTATAGATATAGTACTAATATTGCGAGGGACTAAGAGGAGAGATATTTCGGCTATCGACCTCGTATGCTTGGCTGAATCAGCCAGGCCCGACTTTAGGAATGTCATAATGCTCACTCATATTTGCAAGATATTGATTGAAATCCTGAATCCTGTCACGGTGAGATTTGTTAGCAGTCTTGGCCAACCTATGAGTGTCAATTTGCTCCCTTTGTTCAATATACCGTCTCTCTGCAGACGTGAGCTGATGATCATAAGACGCAGCCTTTCCTTCCTCACTCAACTTGTTGCTATCATCAATCTCGTCCTCATCAGGATTGGTTGTCATTTCTGTACTTCCACCTATATTAAACATTAACCAATTTACTCTACTGAGGCATCCTAAACTTTCCTTTTCTTTCTTCCTATCTTTCGTAAACAAGACAGACTGGAAAAACGTAATTTTTGTTCAAAATGTCGCAACATCTTGTTACCAAAATATTTGCCCTCAAGGAATCTGCCTTGCACTAAAAAAAAAAAAAAAAAAAAAAAAAAAAAAAAAAAAAAATTTTTGCTCTAAACCAAGACGAAGAGTACACACAGTAGAAAACTATGCTCTTACCACATAACAATCCCGATCATTAGCACATATTAATCTTGTCTAACCAAACCAGTTTAGCCCATATCACTCTGGCACTATGTACTTTCAAGTGTAAAATTTACAATCGATATAGCATATCTACTTGGACAAAGATCAAAACGAAACAGTGCTAATAAACAGTTTCTGCAATTCCTATATTGAAAATGTTTAAAATCTAGCATAGTTTATAACTTTATATGACTTACACAAGTATCCACCTTTACATCAAATTATACATACACATACACTCGTGTACATGTGGGCACAAGGAAGAAGATGACACAAATCGCAACTATACGAAGAGAGTTGAAGCCAGCAACAAAAACCACGCATTCACTCATTATGGGCCTTCAACCATTATAGGCAAAAACCTCTCTCATTGTGCATCATGAGCAAAAAAGAGGTGGAACAATAAGTAATTCAGCTAAACAATTTCATGCCTTGATATTGGAGCTGATGAAAATAGGTTAGCTAAATCAGCATTCGGTTAGTTAGTTGCAAACTGAGCATTAGAAGTCTTCAGTTGGATTTAGAAACCATCTCTGTAACTAATTTTTCCTTTACTTCTCCGTAAATCTTCTAGATATATCTATGCACTTGTAATCGCTATAACTATGATGGAGATCTTCTGAATGAGCTTAGATAAAAAGGAACAAAATAAAGCCAACGAAGAACAAAAGAAAGAAAACCCACCAGTTGGAAGATCATTTTCTGCGTTTAGAGACTCCTGATCTTGAAGCTTTTTTTGTTTCTTCTTTTTCTTCTTCATACCAGCAGCCTTGACATCCAGAGCCTTTCCCTTGAGCTTCAGCTTCCCACCAAGAACATTTTCATATGCAGACATATTCACTGGCAAAATAGACCGTTCAAGAACATACACTTGTGACATCTTAACAGGTGTGAACTCACTTGCACGAAATGAGAGCAAAACCAGAGAGGGACCAAGAATAAAAAATAGAATAAAATAAAATAAAATTTGTACTAATTTTTTAACCAAAACATGGCCATTCATTCATGATACAAGTTTTAAACACATATGTGTATGTGAAAGGAAAGGAAGTAACAAAGCAATAAATGAAAAACCTCTGTCGAATATATATATATATATATATATATATTGATCTAACCTAATGTGAATCACACTTGCACTATTAGAAAAGGGCCAAGTCTAAGAAGTTATCTCTAAACTCCATTTGAGCCCTTCAATATTTTTTATGTTGGTATTATTATTTATTTATTTTGTTAAAGCCCATTCATGACAGTTGCTCAAACTAATTCAGAACCCAACATGGTACATCTATCTCTAATGGAGATCGATCATATTCCAGAAATCCAAATCACAACATTGGCAAATACTAAAACTCATCAATGGAAACTTACATAGAAGTTGTCGGATTTTAGGTTTTAAGGATTTGTGGATTTTCAAAAAAAAATATAATAATAATAAAAAATAAATAAATCCGCGACGGTTGAATTTGGGGAAAGTTCAACCTTCCGAATGAAAACCCAAGCACGAGCATCAAATCAAACATCAAACATAATAGTTCTCAATATATATATATATATATTTCAAAGATAGAGTAAAATCTGATGAGAACCGAATGAATAAAACTTCGTACTGAAATTAAATGAGAAATCTGAAAAACCAAAGGAGAGCAACGAAGCAAAATACTCACCGAAAGGGATTTAGCCGTGAAGAGGGCTTCGATTTTTCAACATTCAAAGTACGTCAGAGAAGAGGGAAGACAAACACGAAAGACTGCCCTTTTTCCTTTTCTTTTCGGGTTATTAACACCGTTATAGTTCTTGAGTTGTGTGAATTATCCCTAAATTTTTAATTTTAACAAATTATCTGTTAAATTTTTAATTTTTAACCACTTTAATCCTTACGCATTACAATTAGCGATTAATTTTTAAAATTTTACCGACGTCATACGTCTTAGATGCATGATTACTAAAAATTTTACAAAAATAGTTACAGTAAATGTATATATACTCTTTAGTATTGTTACAAACTATTAAAAGCTAATTTATTTTGCCTTTAATTTTAATATTTTTATAAAAATTTCAGTTTCTATACACTAATCTTTGAGAAATTTTAAAAATTATTTATCAATTTTAGTGTGTAGGGATCAAAGTGGTTAAAACTTTAGGAGACGTTAGTTCATGAATTAGAATCATGAGATTATAATAATTTTTTATTTACGTGTATTTTTTGTGAAAAAAACATTAACGAATCACAAACCATGATTCAAATCGGGATAATAACCAATTCGTTAAACTTAAACGTTTCATAATAAAATGATACAAAGCACGTAATTCAGGGACTAATAAAGATAATTACCCTTTTTTTTTTCTTTTCTTACTCTTCATTATTATTATTATTATTATTATTACTCTTCATTATTATTATTATTATTATTTTGCACGTTTTTGGAAAAATTTGCACCTCACTTAAAAGGCTTGGCAATTAACTCTCCAAACTAAGGGTGTTGACGAAATTTACGAATCTGATTGATCCGTAAAATCTAATTTAATCTGAAGTATTGGATCGAATACGGATTAAGATTTTCTCAATTTAAAGGTTTTGAATCGGATTGCAGATTGAGCACTTTCTAATCCCCAAAATCTGCGAATCTAAAACCATATATACATATATATAATTTTTTATAAGTTAATTTGTTTTATTAAAAAACTCGTATATACTTAGTGGCTCATATCTGATATCCCTAATACAAAGCTCGTATATGATATCCTTAGTCCCTACTACAAAGCCTAGCCTATTGTGAAACTCTAATTTGTTTTTTTTTTTGCTTGAAGTAACAATTTAGATGTTCATTAATATTTCATGTTGTGTTTATTTTATATGCATGTTTATTAATTTATATTTTTAAAGGTTAGAATTCATGAATTATGTGAGTCTAATCCACAAAATCCGATAGGTCTTGGATTGAATTTGATCAAATTTAAAAAGGTTTTGGATCAGACACGGATTGAAAATTTTCCAATCCGCAGTTCTAAATTGAATTACGAATTAACCTTCAATCCACATATTAGGATCCGTGAACACCTCTACTCTAAACTTTAAATTCCATTGCATGAGAATTAACGAGTCCAAATTATATATTGGTAATCTCTCTCCCTAGATCTACGTTGCAGTCCGAAGTGTTTTTGTCCCTCAAACAACGCTTTTACATAATTTCTTTAACATTTTTTATAGTAGGGCAGTCTTATCAGTAATGTCAGTTTTTAATCGTTAGATCAAATCAAAATCATGTCAAATTAAAAAATATATATACTAAACAAAATTTATGATATAAATCTAATAATTGAAAATAGAAGACTATTAATAGTTCATTTTTTATAATCTTACCAGAGAAGCTCTCAATTTCTTTTGGATTGAACAGACATTTATCATTGTCAACATTCAGGAATCTCCATTTTAAAACCTATACTACAATGCCCCTGAAAGGTTTTTAATTGCAATAGTAACTGAGATTTAAGCGAGAAAAAAAAAAAAAAAAAAAAAAGAGGGAGAGAGATTTAAGACCCCTTCAATTCACTGATTTGAATTGAAATATAACTTTATGTGAGAATTTTTTATTATAATAAAATAATTAAATGTGATTATTTTTAAAAATTTTTTGCTGTAATAAAACACAAATCGGTGAAATGAACGGAATTTTAATGTTACGTTCATTACTAGTTGTTACGGACTAAGCTTTTGTTTTACTCGCTCAAACAACAGCTTGTTCCAAATTTTAAACATTCCCCAACTGGCATGTTCAAATGTTAAGAGACGTATGGGCTTGTATTATTCCTCGATTCCAATAAAAGATGGAATTCGAATAACATCCAACAAATTTCAACTTCGGTAACATCCACCCTATGAGTTCTATCTTATGCCCTTCCGGTTTCCGGTGCAAGAATAAACAAAACAAAAAACAAAAGGTCTTCCCTTATCCTTGCTCTAAAATTGGTTAAAGGAAAATGTGCTGGTACAACAAACGAATTATATAGAAGAAAATAATCAGTGAAAATATCTTTTTAAGCATCAATTTTAACTAGGAGGAGCTCGTCCTATGTTTCCGAATCTAGCCCGAAGGTCCTCATAAGTTCGAGATGCTAGTACGAGGCGAGGTTCATCTTCAGGAATCTCGCGTTCCTGCAATTCCCATAAACATTTTATGAGAAATAGAAAAGATGAATTAAAACAACGCCAATGTGAGCAGAAATGTTAAAGAGTGAGACGAGACTTCAGTACGAAGACCTTGCTCTTAGAATAACTGGCGTTACCCAGCAAATAATCCAACATTAATGGTTTTGCAATAAACATTACATAACATAGGTTAAGAAAGATTACAGTCCTATCAAGTGGTACTTTGAACCTTTGCGGGGGAAAAAAAAAAAAAAAAGAAGTTGCAAAATCCAGAATATTATATCATATAGTGATATCTTTTGAAGGTATGAAATAAACATAAAAAGCACCATCCAGGCAAAAATACTCACTTTTAAGCCTTTGTAATATGCTTCCACTGCAGGAAGAAAAGGAATCTGTTTGCGGGACTGCATCAAGTCCCAAATATAGTTGGCCACGGAATATCCACCGGTCTGCAAAAATAAAAGGGACAGGTTTTCAGACCAATATCTCTGAGGCAGAACGGACCATACATAAGTCATAAACAGAATATTAGCACGATTAGCAAAAAGGAAAGGGAAAAAAAAAAAAAAAAAAATAGCCCGCCTTTTCGCCAGATGCCGCAAGGAGAAGATCACTCGCCAGTTTTGGGCTCAAGAAAAAATTCCTTGAATTCATATCTACCTACATTGGAGAATGCAACTATAGTCAAATCAAGTCTTCAATCAAAATATAAAGATATAAACCAAGAAGCGTGTGATAACTCAAACAGTACCAATGCATCTTGTGCAATTTGCATTCCCCTGGGAGTATACCCAATCATGGCTCCCTCGATGAGAGTCTGGAGCCACAACAGAATACAAGATGTCAGTGTGAACAGAATATGATAACATTAGAATTTAGAAGAACACAATTTAAAAAACTAATGTCTTATACAAACTATTAGAAGAATAGTAAAACAAGTTGAGAATTGAACTAAACAATGAACAACAAAATCACCAATATTTGGAAAAAAAGTTCATAATTCCATTTTGGGTGGACGTGAAGAAATGGCCAATAATACTTCTCTATGGACAGCAAAATATTTTCATTCGTTCACAAAAGAGAGTGAATAAATTGATGTTCAGATGAACTATGTAAAATGCTGATTAACATAGACATCCAACAAAAAACACTGATAGGTCAAAAATCAAATATATACCCCACCTTTGAGGAGTAATATATGGAAATTGGAAATTAATGTGTCTACGAATTACTCACTGTATACAATTCACCAATTGGAGGCTTGTCAGACTTCATGTGGTCTTCAAAAACTTTAAGACCACGGTCAATGTCCCCAGAATGTAGATAGCACCTGCATATAAATGGTGTTGGTGAACACAATGGACTATATATTGAACTACCAAAATGCATTATCCAAAGACGTTAAAGAATACAGGGAACCCTACTGAGCATTTACTAATTAACAATTCAACAGGTACTGAACTACGTACACCACTATCAGTAAGTGCATGCAATCGAGTCAAATAACATTTCAAAATGCATTTAAAAGTTATAACTTATAAGTTCACAATTCATTAGTAATAAATCCTCACCTCATAATTTGCATCACAATGAAGGTATCTGGAGTTTTACCGTCCTTCTCTAACATCTCCAAAAGAGTTTCCATGAGCTGGCAAGATTAACAGAATTATCACTATTCCACATTAGGAGGAACGTGACAATAACGGTTGAGAAGAGTAATACAATTGACATTTCCTATCATAGTTAAGAAGAATGGGCAACAAAATATCCCTCTCATTCGTAAGTAAAAATATAGGCACTTTCAATATATATATATATATATATATATATTGGCACTTCAATGAAATCCATAACTCGACAACCAATGAAGAGAAGCAAGAGCAATAGACACACAGAGACAAAATGGATAAGCTTATAGAGGTTAGTTTGTTTTCGGCAGTTCACAAAGAATATTAACGAGTACCTCTACTTTTTTTAGCTCTGCACAAGCATGAAATGCAGCATGATATGCGGTTAGCTGCTTAACCACAAATCCAAGACGCCTATGAGCATATTCAGCAGTAGGAAGATTATAAAGCTCCTCTGGAAGAACACCCATCATTAAATTCTCAGCAGAGACATCGGATCCCTCAACTGATGTCCATTCCTTTGACCGCTCCACAAACTCAATGATCTTGAAAAGAAACTGGAATATTAGATACAGAAAACAATAACAATAACAACAACAACAATAATAATAGTAGGATGAGCAATTGAAAGCCTAAGATGAAGTCGTTGACAAACTCATTACTTTGGTTGCAAAATCTTCTGGTACAGGTGTCTTGTTTTTATATGCGGTTATAAGCCCTGCGTAGCAATATTTATTTAAACCAAGACCAGCTGTAGTCATATCGCGTATAATTGCGTACCTGTAATATCATATGCAGATTTAACTTTAATAAGTCAAAATACACTTATTTAACTTAAACAAAACATCAAACCGAAGGACATGTCTGTCAGGGACAAGTAAATTGGTATTTAAGAAGACTAGTTTGCAGAAAATTCATTTAAAGTTAAATGAAACAGTTATTAATTGGTAACCCTGCTGTAATATAAGCCACCTTAACCATTACAATAGCGGATAATCAGAGCGCCAGGCTAAGAAGCCAACTGTGGTTGTTCAAATAAGGCAGAATTAAACAAGTAAAAAGTGGCATACACTCTGTCTAAACGGCCAGCCGCAGCACATGCATTGAGTAGACAGACATAGGTTTGCACAACCGGCTTCACTTCTAAAACCTTCATCTCATCCAGAAACTTTAAGCAAACAGAAAAAACGAAATGAATAATTAAAACCATGTCTTAACAGGAAGATATTATTATTTTTTCTAATAAAACTTTGAAGTTATAACTACAATGAAGTGTACCTGAATCGCCCGATCAGAGTTCTTGCTCTTCCCACACAATGATATCAGAATGTTGAATAAATCAACCTATAACGTCAAGAGACAGATTATATTGGTAAAGTCAACAATTGTGGAACAAAGATAACACAAATGTCACATAAGTCAAAGAAATTGGGTAACAGAGTGTTTCCACCAAGTTATTAGTCAGAATGGTCGAAAAAAAATAAAATTTTGCATGCAGTACAAACGAAACCATATGCATAATACAATCTTGCTTTGAGAAATTAAATTATCCTCAATCAAAACTGAAATTTAATGAATACTCACAACCTTATGATTTATCACAGAAATGTTAAAGCTGAATGAGCTAATCCAAACAAGTGGTAGGGAAAAAAATTCCATTTCCAAATATTCAAGCACCAAACACAATGAATAATCCATTAAGAAAGAATGAGAAATATATTAAAATTGGAGCACATACATCAGGGACTAATCCAATGGCCTTCATTTGGTCGGTGAAGAACAAAGCGTCCTGCATTCGACCGCCTTTCAAGGAAGCTATAACGAGCGAGTGGAATGTATCCCTGTTCGGCTGTACTCCGTCGAGCGCCATATCGTCATAGACATCCCTCAACAAGAAATACCTACGCGAATCACAACCGAAAAAAAACTTTTTCAATTTCGTCCTTCAAAAGAAATCACAGTAACACAAAAGGGATCGAAACAGAGAAGGAAAACGAAGAAGAAGAAGAAGAAGAAGAGGACCTTCTCTGCGCGGAGATGGAATCGATGACTGTGTTGTACTCGGAGACATTGTTGGCGTAGTTCCTCTTGTCGTGCTCCTCCGTCGGCGTCGCTGCGGCGGCGAAGTACCGCCGTCCGATGACACGCGAGAGCGACCTGTGATGCCCTAAACGATATCATAGATGCAGAAAAACGCAGCCATTTTTCGGTAGTGAGAAATCGGTTCAAACTTGAAAAATGAATAACTCAGAATCTCATATTTCTCTCCCTAGAATTCCAGATTGAGAAGTGGAGAAGAAGGAGGAATAGGATACCAGTGATAAGCTTGAGGAACCTCATGGCGTTTTGCTCTGATGAGATTCTCTCTCTCTAAAACCTCTCTCTAAAACCTCTACCCAGAAGAAGCCCCCAAACCCTTCCTCTCTCCTTCGCTTGCTGCCTGTCACTCACTGCAGTTCCTGATGCGCACCGTTTTGGAAGAGAGCGAAACAAACGGAGGGGCTGCTTTGGGCCTGTCGTAGGTCTGCTTGGGTTGGGTCCGATATCATGGGCTTTTTTGGGCCCTTCACAAGTATAGCCCACAAAAGCGAAAACTGTTAAACTTACCTGAAACTTAGGCCCCGTTCATTTCGCTGATTCGAGTTTAGAATTTAAATTTTTTTACAGTAAAAAGCTCTTACAAACAATCACGTCTAACTTTTTTGCTACAGTAAAAAGCTCTCACATAAAATCACATCTTAACTCAAATTAAAAACTCGAATCAGCGAACTAAACGGGCCCTTATTTACTCGTTTATTTCGCGGATTCGAATTTTCAATTCAAGTTCAGATGTGATATTTTTTTAGAGTTTTTTACTGTAGTAAAAAAAGTTAGATATAACATTTTTTAAAAGTTTTTCACTATAACAGAATAAGTTAAATATGACATTTTTTTAGAGCTTTTTATTATATAAACTTAAAACTGAAAACTCGAATCGGTGATATGAACGAGACCTAAACTGATCTCGATTCTTATCTCTTACTCTTAATTAATATTATTTTAATTAATATAAGTATTTAATTAAAAGAATATTAATTAAGAGTAAAGTGTAAAAATTCAACTCATACACTGTAAGAAGTATTTCTCTCATTGACCTATAACGAAATTTAAAAATTTAATTACATATATGTCTATTAAGGAATGTCCACGAGTTGTGATATTTACATGTAAGTCTGAAAAATAACCTGTAATAACAATTACATTCTTTGTTAACTACCTCTAAAATCAGTTATATAAATTCACAATCACCCACAAAAAAAAGAGTATATTGTGAATGATATTATAAGCGAACTCTTCAATCAAGCATCGTGATAAGTCATGTACATGTAATTTTTTTTTTATATTCTATAACATTGTTCGTTTACATGTGTAACTTTTTCTATGTGTCGATGTAACGCTCCGTGTTACACGTGTTAGGTCAATATTTATTGAATGTTTATTAAAATAAAGTGAGTGATGCACATACTTATAAATGCGGGTGCCGCACTTAAGACAATTCTCATATTATATCAGTAATAATAAAATAGACAGATTAATAATGATGTTGAATTAGGAAAAATTCTAAATACAGAGTTTAAAAATAATCATTTCGTGTAGTAAAGTATAAATATAGCAAAATTTTTTAAATATTTCAAGAATACAAAAGTTTAATATCATTAAAATAATGACTATATCAATAATATTATTATGATAATTACTGTGTCATTTTTACTATTTATTTAATATTTTAAAAATTTTACTAAACTTCAACTTAAGGGATCCGTGTAGTGTAAATTTTGTTTTATTATTGAAATGAATATCATGGGCTTGTTGACATTGTCATGTCAGACTCCAATAAGGAATTGACAAAAATTTTCAGTGCGATCCTTTTATTTTTTCCTCAAATTTCCAACAAGACAGGAATCAATATTTGCATAGGACTCGAGACTTACTCCACTCATTGTTATTATTAAGAAACACTATTAAACTCGAAATCCTTTTCCTTTTCAAATTGAACTAAGCAAGTAGCAATGTGTGTTTCAATACCTATATATATACCCCGCAAGGTCTCAACAATTTCTTCACAAGTCTTAGCCACAACTTTTTAGTCTTCTTGCTTTTCTTTCTTTCTCTTGTTCACCCGTTTTAATGGAGAACTCAAATCCTTCCATGGAGAAAAACCCAGTAGAATCATTAACTAGCGCTCCCTCTAAAAAAATTCTTTGGCTCATACTCTTCGCTTGAGGTTTGAAGATGAGTTGAGCAGTGATAAAGCTGGTATGTTTCTAAAACATATGATGATATATGCTTATTCATAATGTGTGTGTGCATATATACACCAAAAAAAAAATTTATTTTTTTTATACCTGTGAAACCTGATAAAACTTTGAAATTTTGTAGAATCTTCAACGAGGTCAAACACGAACGGTCGCGAAAGTACTACTTCTGATCACGATGATCATCAATCTAATCAGGAGGTGTAGACAATAATCAACCAGATGATTGAACTTGTAGTTTATGAAGAAAATTCTAGTTCTGACACAAGAAGCATTGCGTCACAAGAAACACAAAGCTATACATCTAATCATCAACAGAGTTATGGATTTACTGAAAATGGAGTTGATTTAAATGGCTACAATTTCCCCTACCATACTCCAAGTTATCAACACAATGACCAACAGAGTAATCCCGGAATTATTGACAATGGAGTTGATTTAAATGGCTATTATTTTCCCTACCAAACACCAAGTTATCAATCTGATCATCAACAGAGTTATGAATTTATTGACAACGGGGTCAATTTAAATAGATATAATAGCCAAGCATTGAGAAAGATTTTATGGTCTGATGAATCAAGGCGAGAAATAGCAAAGATGATTTTTCATCCAGAACATTCAAAGTTATTGCAGGATACCTTGGTACAAAACGACGAACTGATTAACGAGAGCATATTCGGAGTAGTTTTTGAAAATATGTTTCGTGTTATGGAGGACCAGTATGGAACTCATGTCTTTGGGAAGCTAGTTGAATGTCGCAATTCATCTCAGCTGCTATTTATTGTAGCAAATATTACTCTTAATACTCAAACTTTTTTAGGATCGCTATACTCTAAACCTGGGTATTTTCCTTCACTCACACCTTAAATCTCTCTTTTTTTTTTTTGCTTTTATTTTCTTTCTCATGCTAAAAACTAAACTTGTTTTGTGCAGTGCAAACTCGGCTAAAGGACTCATAAAAGTGTTGAAGAACTCAGTATTAGTTTATGAAATTACATCAATTTTGACCAGTAAATTTATTGAATTGATGAGCGATCGTATCGCATCAAATGTTATCTTGCAGTGTCTTGGTATCCTTAACGCTAGTCAAAATCAAGTAAGTGTAACTCTAGTACTCTATATTTGAATATAACGTAATAAGGTTAGTTTCATATGTGCTACCATAGTTTTGTCAGGTAATTAATTACTTGTGTTTATATTAATTAATTGCAGATATTATATGAAGAAACCATAAAGAACTGCCTCAAACTGGCCACAGATGTAAAGGGATGCTTCGCTTTGAACGAAAGCATCGACGTTATAAGAGACCTACACAGAACTCGACTCCTTCAAATAATCTCTACTCATGCAGTTTTTATTTCTCAAGAACCTTCAGGGTATGTATATATACAATAGTATAACTTTATTTAAACCCAACAATTAACATTGCACAACTACATTTTCTGTTTAACATAATAGGCCTTTTCTATGGCCTCCAACACTTATATGGGAGAGATTTCTCCATCGTAACCAGAGTGGTGTAATTCTCTTATATTGAGTCGTAACAATTATTATTTTGGGAATCAAAAGTCATTTTTAAGCATATGGCAATAAGCGGATGTCATGCATTGCTCCATACAAATATTCATGCATGAACGGATGTGCCTATAAAAAAAAGACAAATATAATGTTTCACGGCAATATTATTCACATATAAAAAAAAACAGTCGGTTACGATGGAATGATTGATTATTGATAGTAAAAATGATAGATATGCATATTATTATTTATATTAAAAACAACATTCGTTTATTAATATGTCTTTCAATACTATTCATATATTGCCATATGCTTAGAAATAGATTCTAATTTTCAAAATAGTAACTGTTGCAACTAAATACAAGAGAATTACACTAGCCCTTCAACCGGTTACGATAACACATAGGAGATAGGTTTATCATTTACAAAGTGGGGGACTACAGCCAAGTCTAACATAATATTATATATTAATTTGTGTTAATAAATTTGAATTTTATATCAGGAACTATGTTCTACAACGCGTTTTGGAACTGAGACACCCGATTTTCATTAACATGGTATGCTCAACATTGAAAGGTAACTACGTGAATCTCTCTAAACAGAAATTTGCAAGCCACGTTGTAGAGAAATGCCTCATGACTTTTGGAACGAAAGACGTACTTGAAGATTTGATGAGTGAGTTTTACTCGCTCATTTAGTATCATTTTACACTTAATATCTAGTTGATTTTCGAGGTTTTTGTTAGTTTTTATGTGTGTTTTTGTTCTTTGTTTGAAGGTTAGGTGAAAGTCTATGATTTGGAAGGTTTTGGACAAATTTCGCTGAAATCTGACGAAATTAGTGCATTGGGGCAGAATGGGCAGCGCTTAGGCGCCCATTACAGCGCCGCAGCACCCAGGGATTTTACATAACAGTGCCGCAGCGCTAGAAACTTAGCGCCACGGCGCTACGACGCGAGAAATTACGCGTTTTGAAGGCCAATCGTGAGAAAACTTACCCGTTTTGACCATAATGCTCCGAAACATATAAATAGATGATTCTAGGGCAATTAGAGGGGACTTTTTAGACTGTGGAATGACGGCTGGCTTTTGAGAGAGTATTCAAGAGAAGAAAAGGAGAATTGGGACGGAGAAGAAGAACGGCTCAAATCCGGAGACGGAAACGCTTCGATTCAACTCCAAACTAGTTCTTTTCTTTCCTTTCCAATGATTAAGACTTTGTTTAGGAATTTATTTTGTTTAGAGATGAACTAATTCCTCTTTCTAGGGCTACGATGTAGCCGGATTATGAATGTTCGAATTCTTAATCTTCTTTTTAAGTAATTGATGTTTAATCCATATATGCTGAGTATTTCAATTTATTCTTAATGCTTGTGATTGTTTGGCCAACTATTACATGATTTTGTATTTGATTTGAGACTGAGAGGTGATAATTGAATAAGCTCTTAATTGAAATACCATGAGTTGTTCATAGGATAGAGATATCTATGATGCTTGTGCAGTTCTTTTGAATTTCTTGCACTTAATGATTTTCAATAGGTTTAGAAGTCTGACAGAGATGTAGATTTTGCTTGTTGGATTAATATTATTGTTGCTTGAGAAAGAATAATAATTGCTTTAGAGAA